GGGGGGGGGGGGGGGGGGGGGGGTGTTTCTCTGACCTCTCCGTTGCTTGCCTCGGCCTGCCGAAGTCGATCCTGACAGACCGACAAACAGACAGACCGACAGACACAAAGACAGAGGGAGGGAGAGATGTGCGTGTGTGTGTGTGTGTGTGTGTGTGATGGCCTCGCTGACCAACCAGGACAACTCACTCACTTGTGCCACTTCCGACGCCTTTTCTCGGCTGATGGCCTCGACACTGTCGCGCCACATGGCGATCTGGTTCTGAAGCTACGGTATTGCCAGTGGAGCTGCCCGCAGCGAGACCAGTGGATGATGATGCTGAGGCCGTCAGGCCAGCTGTGGCCTCTCGATTCTCGAGCCTCTGCTGCAGTGCACAGAGACACAGACAGAGACACACGCGACGTGATGGATCCCGTCATGTGCTTTGGTACAGATGGGAGTCTCTGTCTATAATCTCTCTCACGTGTTGCACTTTCTTCTTCCGTGCGATGTGGTGTTGGGCAATACTGGCTGAATCTGGTGGGGCTGCAGGTCCTCCGGCCCCCGCCATCACTCCATTGGTTGGCTGCGTGCGCCTCTGACCGTTTTGAGGGGCCTTCGGCTGAGGCGGCGGCTTGAAGAGGGCAACTGATTGCCCCCACCTGGGCCATCGCCGTGCTGTGGTCCCCGGCTGACTTGGCCAACGCATCACGCAACTTCTCGATCTCGGCACCGTACTGCTCACACACACACACACACACACGTCTGCACACCGCGTGTTTTCCTAATCGACTTACACTGCGGAGAGAGCGGTACATCATCGCTATCACTTGGTGTTCTGTCAGACATCCAGACAGGGAGCAGTTCAAGGGCACGACTGTGTTGTGTGATCTGTGCGGTAGATCTCACGGTGGGAGATGGTTTTGGTCAGGTCGTGGCGCTCCTGCTGCCACGGCAAGGACGGCACTTCCTCATCCTCGTCTTCATCGACTTCGCCACCATACCAGCAGCAAAAGGCTTTCCTGAATGGCAGAAAACAACCACGCACACGGACGGTAGCACAGGATGGGCGCTGGATCTCTCCCGGGTGCCCCGTGCGGCCTCTCTGCCCATGTTCGTGGCACGTGTGGCTTACGGCGGTGGTCGCTTCTCCCTGGGCCGGCTCATGGCCGCTGGTACGCTAAGGTCTGCCACAAGCCGCAGAAGAGAGGACGTTCTAACACTATACGCAATGTGCCGCTCAGAGTGCCACATTCCGCTCCCATCAGCCACCATGATGGGCAGAGGTCAGCACAGGGCGAGACCAAAGGCAGAGGGGAACTGTGCTGTTCCCCTACAGGGGCTCGGAGATGAAGAGGGCCGGACAGTGCCGTGCAGCAGCGCTTGTAAGAAATGAGGAGAGCTGGCGTGGAAAAAAAACCCGTCTCGAGACGGCGAGAATTCGAATTCTCGAATTCTCGCCGAGATTCTCGGCCTGTCGTGGGGTCCTTTTTGTCGTCGGTCGGTCGGTCCATTTTTTGTCTTCCATTGGTATGTCAGTTTGACTTTGCCCTTTTGTTGACTGTGTGGTTGGGCGTTTGGGGGAACTCACGCATGGATCAACAACTAGATCAACAACATGCACGCCAGTGACGCCACCCATCCATCAGGATATATATACCATGGCAGCTAGCTATACACAACCATCCACTGATGCAAGCACTCACCCATTCGCTACATATGCCCCCCTTCCCCCTCTCAATCAATCATGCCGCGGCCGCACATTGCGCTGCCCATTGCCCGCACCCACACCAACACCAACACCAACACCACCATCACCGCCAGGAGCCCCAGCGGCCTCACCGTACGTCCGCTGCCTGCGCTGCGCCCAGGGGGGGATGACGGGAGGAGGGCGCTGCCCACACGCACACACGCCACACCAGACCAAAGAGAACAGCGTTGCACAAGAGGGCGTATGGTGCGTTAGAGTGTGGCGTGGGTGCATTGCGTACGAATGGCCGTGGTGGCGGCCTGATGCGGACGGGGCGGAAGTGCCTAAACGGCGGGCGGAACCCCGCCGGACCCAGCGAGCGCTGATCCAACAGGCGCTGACAGTCCAAAAGCAGCCAGGCAGGCAGGAACCATGGATGGATGCGCAAACATGATCAATGACTCAATGGATGGAAATCGAATGCCCTTAGTTATACCCCCGCAGCAGCAGCTTGATGGTGGGGGGGAGGATTCATGGCCTCGGCATTGAGCTCCTCCTGCAGCAGCGACGCCAACAGCTCGTCAGACGAGTCGTCAACCTGCCAGACAGACGCAACAGACGCAGCACACACAGCGAGGCAGGACCAGTGAATGGAATGCACACCCACCCACAGGAGAATATCCTCTTGTGCGTACCGGTGGGTTGTAGTCTGCAGCAGCCGGAGCAGCAGCTGCTGCTGGACCAGGCCGAAGGATGTTCGGCGCCGGCGACAGAGTCAGATCTGACCGCGCCCCACAAACAAGACAAGACAACACAACACAATGCAACACAGATACCTCATCCGCGACCCTTTTATGACGGTACCTATCTCAACCCTGTTGCCGTGGCCGACTGCAACACCACCACCACCACCACCTGCCGCCGCCGCCGCCGCAGCGGCAGCAGAGCTACTCCTCCCAGCACCCCCACTAACCTTATCCCTCTCACCCTCATTGCCCTCTCCTCCCTCTCCCTCTCCCTCTCCCTCTCCATCTTCACCCACACCTCCACCCCGCAGACGCAGCTGCTGCCGCCCCCAATCCTCAATCCGCGACAAGACCTCATGGTTGCTCGCCACACGGCTCCCCGTCAGCGTCCGCTTGCTCATGGGCGAGAAGCCCTTGCTGTTGAGCCACTGCATCAGACACGGCCGCTCGTAGGTGTGACCGAGCTGGAAGCCGCTGTGGTTGTCGCCGTGGATGGTGACGACGGGCTGTCGGGGGACGTCCTGCAGGATGGGACAGATGGGCAGGTAGTCGGGTCGGTCGTCGACGGGAAGCTGGTCGAGGAGCGTCTGCACGGCGGGGCTAACGGAGGGGAAGGCCGGGGGAGGTCTGGGGCGGGGAGGGAAGGGGCGGAACGCCTGAGGGAACCTGCCAGTGACGGATGGATGGACGGATGGAAAACACGAGTTGGGATGGAAGGGTGGATGGATGGATGGATCTGCCATGTGTGTCTGCCCTCATTCACCTGGGCGGTGGCATGTAGAAGCCCTGCAGCTGGTTGTTGATGTCCTGATGGCCATCTGCGCGGTACATCCTCGCTTGCCTCCAGGCAGCCTCCTCCGAGTCGCCCGCCTCCTCCGCTCAAAGTCGGCCACTTCTACATGCGGACGAAACGACAACGCACAGAGAGAGGGAGGGCGTCACTCTTGCACCGACAGACACTGCGCACGTCACTGCGCCGATTTCTTACCTAGAATTCCATCAGATGAGCATTCGAGCGCATTCGATGGACCTTAATGATGTCGAGGAAGCTGCCGTGGTGCAATCGAGTAGCAAACACGATAGTTCAAGGCCACCCTGCGCACAAAGAACCCTCGGCTCGCAGACATTTGCGAGCTTAGAAGCGAAGGAGAAAGACTCAGAAGGTGAGATCTTTCCGCCGTCACAAGCACCATACAGCCATTTCTGCTGCGTATCTGTCTTGTTGTTGCAGGCGGGCATCGCATCTGCTTCGCTCTTCGCTCTGTTGCCGAGATCCGTGAGGCAGCCAGAGCAGCAGAGTGAGCGCCCAGGATGAGCCACCTGGGTACGCTGGTCAACGTGCGGGCGGAGGGGCTGCTCGAGGCGCACGTGTGGGGCATCTCGCACTGGCGGCTGTTTGAGACCATCTGCCGGGCGGTGCTCGACCACAACTGCTTCTTCAGCAGCAGCAACATGACCATCAAGAGCGACCGCCACTTCAGGGCCACCTTCCTCCTGATGCCCAAGGGCATTCCCATGGACCTCGAGCACCTCAAACAAACCGCACGCAAGCTGCAGGTAGGTACCCTACCCAGCTCAGTGACTCGCTCAGTCGGCCAGTGTGGGACAACCGTGAGCATATGGATGGATGGGCCCTCTCTCTCTCTCTCTCTCTCTCTCTCCCCCCCATGTGTGATGTGTAGGAGGTGCTTCGTCGGCCGGAAGATCTGGTCAAGGAGGGCGGCGTGAGTCTGGGCATCGTGGCGGCGATGGAGCAGCACCGCCCCAAGACGGCGGACCTCTTCGCCCCAGCGGCGGGGAGCAGCCGGCGGATCGAGGTGGAGCTCACCAACCTCGAGCTGATGGATCAGTCGCTGCTCATCGGGGTGGGGCGGCTGCTGGGGCTGTTCGGCATCACCTTGTGCGAGGCGGCCTTCACACTCAGCCACGGCACCTGGCTCAACTGCAAGCTGTGGGGGCAGAAGAGCGTGCTCATCAAGAAGCTCCAGGCCATAGCCAGGGAGACCGATGAGGCGCGGATGGACAAGCTCAAACAGGCAAGGGAGGGAGACAGACGGAGAGGGAGAGCACACACACACACACACACACTCGTCCACCTGGCAATGTATCTCTGTCTGGTCTGGTTGATTGACAGTCTTTGGACGCTTTAGTAGCGGCGCACGTGGCGGCCCACCCCCACAGCGCGGCGGTGCCGTCGGCCAAGGTCAGCCTGTCTGCCGCCCAGACGCCATCGCAGCGCGTGTCGATCCCCCCCATCATGCCCGAGGACCTCGCCACCTCACTGGCAGAGGCACAGAGCAACGGCAACACACCTGCTGCGAGCAGAAGAAACTCATGGTACGTTGGTGGGGTGCGCTGGGTGTGTGGGCCCGTGGGTGGCTGGGAAGGTCACCGACGGCTCACATGTGCACACGTGTGTGTGTGTGTGTGTGCGTGGTTGTCGCGCAGGACGCCTCGGTTGGCGTCGGTTGGCGGCGTGAGTGGGGGACTGTTTAGTAGGCGAGTGCGCGTGTCGTGCCGATTTGAGCGGACCAAAGTGGAGAAAGTCATGGGGTATGTAAGTCATTGACCCTCCCTCCCTCCCTCAATTCATTCCACTCTCTCCCTCCAGTCATCACACCTTTCTCTCTCTCCCTGTGTGTCGTTCCGTCCTTTCGTCAGTGGCTGCTGCGGGTGGCTGCGCGCCCGTCGCCGCGAAGGGCGCCTGCTGAGCGACAGCAGCCCCGCCTTTGAGGACCCCGTGGCGGCCCCCCCTCACCAGAAGACCACCAAGCCGCCGGCGGACAAGAAGGTCTCACGCAAGCCGTCGCAGGCCACCACGTCGGCCACTGAGTCGGACATTTTCGGAGGTTCGGATGTCAGCGGCGGGGCTGTGGGTGGTGGGGGGAAATCGACGCACTCCCACCATCTCCACCAGCAGGAGCAGCATCAGCAGCTGAAGGGGTCAGGTGCGAGCAACTCGAGTACGCCGCCGAGTCTGCCGTCGGGCGGTGTGGTGGTGGGGAGCATCAACAAGCTGCAGCTGCAGCAGATCCCTGAGGTGCGATGGCTGTGAAGATGGGTGTGTTGATGCTGAAGGAACCAACGTGTGTGTGTGGGTGTGTGGGTGTGTTTCAGAACCAGTTGGCTCCTTCTGACGACGAGCTGCAGCCCGACAGCCTGCAGAACCTGGTCGGTGCGAGTGACGTCGACACGGAGTCGCCATCCATCCCGTCACCCTCTCGTGGACCCCCACCCCCTCCGCCAAGCACCGTCCTCTTCAACACGCCCAGGTACCTCACCTTCCCAGCGCACCACACGACAGACACCACACACACACACCAACACACCATGAGCACCCTCCACCACGACGGATGACTCTCTCACCTTTTCCCTCCTCAGTCTGGGCCCCGACCGGTCCGGCAACCTGATCACGTCCAGTGGTCAGCTCTCGCTGAGCACCCGGTCCCGGAGCCGCGACGCCATGACAACCTCCCCCTCCCCCCCGCCTCTGACAATGCCCCGAGGGTACTTCTCGCCCTACATGCTGCCCAACCGCAAGTCGTCTGACGAGCTGTCGGCGGGCCATGGGGCGGTGCTGCCGCCGCCCGCCATTAGAGAGGAGGACATGTGTGTGGGTGAGGGGGATGAGGGCGACGAGGAGCGAGAGGGAGAGCGAGAGGGAGAGGCGGAGGGGGAGGGGGACCGGGATGTGGGCTGGGTGGCCGGCGAGCTGCAGGACCTCTCCAGCTGGCTGTCGGAGACGCGAACGGTCAGTCCTGAAGGGTCAAGAGAATGATATATAGCTGTCCTTCCTGATCTACTCGACTCATGCCCTCTTCTGCTGTCTGATAGGTGGGGCTGAGCGAGACTCCCTCAGAGCTTCACCGTGCTGTCGCTCCCGCCGGTGCCACCGGAAATCACCAGCAGCACCAGCAGCACCACCAGCAGCAGCAGCAGCAGCAGGACCAAGGCGACGCTACATCCAAGTCCAACAAGTCGGTGACCTTCGCCTCACACGCCTTCGACGAGGCCATCGACCGGGCCATCGTCGAGCACCCCTCCGTGGCCGACTTCGGCAACAAGACGCCCATACCCACGGCGAGCGAGCGGGAGCGGGCGGCGCGGGAGGCGCGGGAGCGGCTCGAGAGGGAGCGGGAGTCGCTGGGTCGGCTGCAGACGGCGAGTCTGTTCGAGTCGATTACGAGCCAGGTGGCGGATGCGGGCAGCGGCATCTTTTTGGGGCAGTCCTGGACAGAACAGTTTCCGAGGTAACCTTCTCAGACGGAAGTGGTGTGAAGTGGCGCTGCGTTGGTGGATGTGTTGTGATGTCTTGTCTTGTCTTGTGTCTGGTGCAGGATCGTCGTGAATCAGGCGAGCATGACTCCCGAGGAGGCCGCTGCTGCCGCTGCAGCGGCCAAGGAGGGCCCCGGGAAGAAGACCAAGAAGAAGGGCTAGACAAGACAGGCGTGTCTGTCGTGTGAGGGAGTGAGTGGTTGGCTGCTGGAGTGGCTGTGTGTGCGCTGCGCGCGGGTCAAGTGAGAGAGAGAGAGAGAGAGAGAGACTAACAGACTAAGTATTTTGTATTTGATTCCAACTCTTGCCAAATGAGGGCGGGATGGATGGATGGATGAATGGAGGCAGGCAGGCGGGGAGCAGTGCCGTGGCGTGGGGTGCATCTATCTATGTGCTTGCCGTGGCGTTTTATCCACCCCCCACCCCCCACCCCAGGCAGGCTGTCAGTCTGTTTCCGTCCATCGCACCTGTCTTTTCGTCTGTCTGTCTCCCTTGTGTAAGGTTCGTAGCACAGCGCCCCTCTCGGCCTTTTTGCGCCCCATCCATCCATCCATCCATCCCATCCTCCCTCGCCACACACACAGCACGGGTAATAATTATTGTAACCGATGGTTGCTTGGTTGGTTAGTAACTTGGTTGCTGCCTTTTTTGACACCACACGTGTGGGTGGGTGGGCTGAGTGGGCTGAGTGTTCCTCCCCTGCCTCCCTCCCCTGCCTGCCTCCGGCCTGCTTCCCTGCCGTGTGGCCTTGTCTTGGCTTGTGTTGGTGTGTTGGGTGAGTGTGTCGGCTACTCTCGTCTTTTGTGGAAACAGACGTACAGCTCGATCAAGGCAATTAGTGGACGGAGCAGTGCGCAGAAATTGCGCCGTGCCCAGGTGCGGGTGGGGGTGTGATGGCTTTCGCCCGGTGTGTTTTGGTGTGTATGACGGGTTTTGTACCGATCGCAATTGAATGGATGAATGGATGAATGGATGAATGGATGGATGGATGGATGAGCGGATCGCAATTGAGAACTCGTGTTTTCGTGGGTAGGGAGGGGGGG